TGTTCCCTGGAGGCGCCGGGGGCTCCGCACACCCTTCTGCTCCTGCCTCCCTCCTCTTCCTGCTCTCCCGAGGGGAGACGGTTTGGAAAAGACCATTCGGAAGACGGCAAGAGATCCCTTCCCATGCTTTCCTTTAGGGAAAGCACAGAGGTGGAATCCTGGGTGTCCGTAACATTTAACAGTGTAGCAGGAAGCGGTTATGACCTCGTGGAAGATTTTGGGATTTCTTTTGTTGTTCGTGTGTTAAAGGGACAGTGGATCGGTGCTACCTTTGATAGGACTATATGGGGTAGCCCCGTGGCCTGCGAGAGGTTTACTGCATTTTGTGTTGTGCCCGTTGTGTACTAAACTCTTGAATTGATCCTATGGTTAATCTGTTACAGGGATGGTGCTTCAGACCGGTGCTGGGCGCCTAATCCCGACACCTTGCCCTGAGCTGTGCCATCCCGCGTAATAAAGAGCAGAGCCGCCCATAAAACGGCACATTTCTGTGTAATCCTGCCTTCCACCTGTGCCATGTTGCAATAGCACTGGAGGCACCACGGTTATTTCCTGAAAGAGTTAAACAGCTCTTCTAGGCGGCGTCATTTAAGGCTCATCTATAATAAATATGACTTAACATCGTGGTGGCAGTGTAGCTGTGCAGCCGGATTCCTCCATTCGTGTGCATATATATATATATATATATATGTATACGCACATCTGGTGGCTGCGCTTGCAGCGATGGTCAGTTTGGGTTGTCACCGCTGCTGGGCCATCTCGTCACAGGGTCTTTCTGGTAGCGCAGACGTTACCGTTTCGCTGACGCTCTCCTTTCCCCACACGCTTCCCCATTCCCCTTCTTTGCTGTGGCGAAATACTTCAAACTCTTAACAAAAACTAGGGGTTTTGTCTGCAAAGGGGTTGTCCCAGCAGCTGCACCGCTCCTGGGAGGAAAACGGGGTGTCCTGGGAGGAAAACGGGGTGTCCCGCGGGGAGCGGGGCCATTTCCCAGGGAAGGTTTCGCCCGTGCGTGTCCGGTACGGGAGCGATGCCGGCGCTGCGGGAATTGGCTGCTGCGGCCGCGGGACGGAGTCGCGGCGTGCCAGGTAACGGCAAAGGGACGTGGGTTAACGGGCAGCGCGCGGGTGCTGCACAGGGCCAAATCCTCGGCCTGTGTCGAGGCCCGGGGAGCCAAACCCAGAGCCGGAGCCGCCTGGGCAGAAGGTCCCTTGTCCAACGCAGGGAACTG